TGGCTTTGATATTCTTAGATGCGCAAAAGGCATTTGATAATGTGAATTGGAGATTCATGTTATTATTATTAAAACTTTTACAAGATGCTAGAATTAGAGGAGGGATTTGGTCTGCCTAATTGGGAGTTGTATTATCAAGCTGTAAATTTGATGTGGGCTAAGGAATGGATAACATTAAGAAAGACCAGATTGTTGACACTAGAAGGACATGATTTGTTGTTGGGCTGGCATGCTTTTCTATGGTATAAGGGAACTAAAACACAGGGCTATTTTAGAAGACATCATATACGGGAGTCTTTGTGGTTAAATTGGGAGAAGATTAAAAGACAATGTTATTTGAAAATTCCAGTTTGGTTAACGACTATTGAAGCTTTTTCCTATCCTATAATATATAAGAAGGAACAAACAGTTAGATATGGGGAAATATTGGATGAAAAGGGTGAACTTAAATCGATGCAAAATTTCGAGGAACAAGGTATAAAGATGAATTGGTTTTCATATGCGCAAATACATTCAAGGTATGATGAAGATTTTAAAACAGAAGGATTCTATGATAAATTGACTGATTTAGATAAGATTTTGACAGGTACTGATGAAAAGGTGATTAAAAAATTATATGGTTATTTATTGGAAATTAAACTAGAGGAATAACAAGTTAAAGAAACTATGATTGCTTGGGGGAAGAATTTCGGATATGGGATTGATTTAGAGAAATGGCAAAAATTGTGGTCTCAAAATTATAAAATGATAATGTCAACAGCATATAAAGAAAATCTGTATAAGATGTTTTACAGGTGGCACTTTCCCCCAACAAGAATAGCAAGAATGTTTAAGAATAAATCTGAAAAATGCTGGAAATGTCATCAGATACCTGGCTCATATTACCATATGTGGTGGACTTGTGAGGACACTAGAAAATATTGGACTAAAATTCGCATGTGGTTGGAACAAATGATAAAGAAACACATAGACTTGAAACCAGAGATTTTTTTATTGGGAATCTTACCTGATACATATAGTAAAAATTTGAAATACCTGATTGTAAATGTATTAACAGCGGCTAGGATTGTATTTGCTAAAAATTGGAAAAATGAGAAAATACCATCGCAGGAAGAAATCATTAAGAAAATATTGGAATGTGCTAAAATGAGTAGATTGACATTTGAAATTAGAGAACAAGAGGATAAACAATTTTATAAAATTTGGGACCTTTTCTATCAATGGTTAGATAATAAAACACAATAATAGAATATCTAGAATTCCAGAAAATAATGAATATATAAAGATATATTTCTTTTTTTGATTCATATCTATAAAATGTTTTTAGGATAGATTTGGTATGATTACATGAATTGTTATAAAATAAACTAAGTAAATTATAGTTATCTCGCAAAGTATGAATGAATAAAATTATAGTCAAATGATTGTTTAATAGTGATACTAGGGTATTTAATTTTTGATTGATAATATGAGTTATTATGTAATGTAACTGTAATTGAGACTACAAAATGGATGCACAAAAAATTGGTAAACCAACCGACACACTGCTTGTATATTTATGAAAGAAAGCTGGATGTTTTTATGTTTTGTTTGTTCTGCTTGTCTTTAAAAACCAATAAAATTGTTTTCAAAAAATAAATAAATCTTGGTCTAGAATTGATATGGTGTGGGTGAATGGGGCAATTGGGAAAGACATTAGTGAAGTAGAAATAATGCCCAATGTATGGGCCGATCATAGTCCAGTAAAAATTAAATAGAAAAGACAGAATAAAAGGAAAGGAGATGGATACTACACCCACAAATAACAAAAGAAAAAGAATACATTCAAAGAATTAAAGATGAATTAGAAGTATTTTTAAGGTTAACCTAAAACAACATACCACCTTACAAAATTTATGGGACACCACAAAGGCCTTTGTGAGAGGTATATCAATAGCTTATGTAGCTAAGAAAAATAAAGAAAAATGGAAGAAACAGAACAAATTACAAGAAAGAATTAAAAAAATTGAATATGAGCTTCAAAAAGATCCAAAAAATATGGAAGCCAAGAAAGAAATAGGAATAATTAGACACAAATTAAATTTGATAGACATTGAGCAAAATGCACATAAATTTAAAAACTCTCAAACATAATTATTTTGAATCAGCAAACAAACCAGGAGGGTGGTTGTCCCATAAATTAAAAAGAGAAAAAGAGAAAAGATTAATTCAGCAACTTAAAGATGAGGAAGGGACAGTTGTATTATCAGATGGAGGATAAAAAGAGAATTGTGCAAAGGTATTTTGGCGAGCTTTATAAACAAGAAGTTATGGAAGAAAACATTAGACACTACTTGGAGGGAAACAGTCTGAGCCCAATCTCTGAAGAAAACAGAGAAACACTTAACAAAGAAATAACACTAATAGAGCTACAAAAGGCAATACAAAAACAAAAAAATAATAAAACACCAGGTCCGGATGGTTTACCCAGCAAATTATATAAAAATTTATCTGAAATATTTGAACCAATATTACTGGAATTATATAATGAGGCATTAATGCAAGCTAGACTTCCGAGGTCCTGATCCGAGGCATACATCTCTTTTAATTGCAAAAGATGGCACCACTCAACAACTAATTGCGAACTATAGGCCAATCTTGTTGCTAAATACGGACTATAAGGTATTTATGACAATATTGGCAGAAAGAATGAAACCAATTTTGAGTGAATTTATACATACAGACCAGAATGTTTTCCTGCCAAATAGACAAATCAAAAACACTATTAGAACAGTACTAAATTCAATTGAATATTATGAAGCTCACCCAGAAAAACAGGCAGCTTTAATCTTCCTAAATGCGCAAAAAGCATTTGATAATCTTAATTGGAAATTCATGTTATATCAAATTAAAAAGCTGAATTTCGACACTAATATAGAAAAAACTTTACAAGAAATATACTCAAATCACAAAGCGAGTGTACTACTAAAGGGAGATCGCACAGAAGACTTCGAAATTGCAAAAGGAATGAGACAAGGGTGTCCACTATCGCCTCTGCTATTTATCTTGTCTTTAGAAGTGTTGCTAGCTGCAACCAGACAAAACCCAGAGATTCATGGAATTAAAATTAGAAATGAGGAATATAAAGTTCAGGCATTTGCTGACGATTTGGTATTTATAGTAGAAGATCCAATGAATTCGGGACCAATATTGTTGCAACAAATAGAAAATTTGGGGAAGTGGCAGGTTTTAAAATAAACAAAAACAAAACTAAGATGATAGTCAAAAATTGTATAAAAAACAAAAAGTAGAATTAGAAAACATAATGGGACTGCAAATAGTAAAAAAGGTGAAATACCTGGGAATTTGGTTATCACTCAGATGTTCATCACTAAAAGAGGACAACTATATTAAATTGATTAAACAAATTAGGAAAGAATTAGAATTATGGACCAAATTGAAATTATCTCTATTAGGAAGAATAGCAACTTTGAAAATGAATACTTTACCAAAACTAATATATTTATTTCAAATGATCCCAATTAAATTAGGGAAACCTTTCTTTATAGAACTAAATAAAATGTCTAAGTTTGTCTGGTTGGGCAAGAGGCCACATATTAAGATGTAACTATTACAAAATAATAGGAGCAGAGGCGGTTTTGGATTACCAGAATGGGAGCTCTACTATCAGGCAGCGGTGTTGAGTTGGATTAAGGATTGGGTTAAATTAAAAGACAAGAGAATCTTAACATTAGAAGGACATGACCTCCTGATAGGTTGGCATGCATTTTTGTGGGAAAACAAAAGTGCATACCTATTTTAATCAACATTTAATAAGGGACTCATTGATCACAACCTGGGAAAAGGTAAGCACTATATGGAAATCCCATGATGGCTGTCAACCATGGAAGTCATAATCCATCCAAATAGATTAGACTTAAGGAAAATGGTAAACTATGAAGAATTATTAGATAGTCAAGGGAAATTAAAATCAAATCAAGAACTAAAACAAAATGGAATCATAATTGATTGGTGGCCATATTTGCAAATCCAAAATAAATATAAAAAAAAACCTAAAAGATTTTGGCTTTGACAAAGGGCAGAATCAATTAGATAAAATATTAATGGGATCAGAACAAAAACTTATAACTAAAATATATAAATATTTATTAGACTTTAAAATGGAAGAGGAAACAGTCAAGGGTACAATGATCGCATGGGCACAGAATTTTGGATATACTATAGAATTAGAGGAATGGGAGAAAATATGGAACGTAAATTATAAGCTAATAGTATCCGCAGCATACAAAGAAAATATGTACAAAATGTTTTATAGATGGTATTTAGCTCGAGATTGGCAAAAATTTATCCCAATGTAAGTCCCAAATGTTGGAAACGTAAAAAAGTTGACGGTACATTTTACCACATGTGGTGGCTATGCCCCGAGACCAGGACATATTGGATCCAAATCAAAAATTGGTTACAAGAGATTAATGGGTACCAGATTGAGCTCAGACCAGAAACCTTCCTTCTAGGAATCATCAAGGATAAATTACCAAAAGAGGCAAAATACTTATTGTTACACATTACAACAGCCGCCAGAATAGCCTTTGTGCAGGTATGGAAAACACTAAATACTCCCAACAAAGAATTGATAATACATAAAATAATGGAAAGTGTTGAGATGAACATGTTAACATTGAGACTGAGAGAAAAAGATGACTCAGAATTGTTTTAAAATTGGAACTTGGTATAAATGGTTAACAAACAGAACTAAGAAAGGAGACAAGAAATCTAATTGGAATAATCCTTATGAGAGTAAAATGTAAATATGTAAACTATATAAAGATATAAGGATAGTAATTATAGTGGAAACTATTATTTAATATTAGATAAACATAATATAATGTATTATGATATTTAAATTAAGAACCTGTATGGATGCTAAGAATGCTGTTGGAATTATGATATTTTATGATGTAATAAAAGAAACTCAATAAAAATACATTAAAAAAAGGAAGATCTGTATTTGGCAGTCAAAAGCATCAGGGGAGCACAAACTTGAGACCACACTGACATTACACCATCTGTCATTTATATAAAAAGAAAACACCCCCCCCCCCCCCCAAATGGGATTTACCGCTAAGAGCCAAACTGTGGTCCAGCCGAAATGTTGAGAATCCCACCAAGCTAACAACACTATCTGGGACAGAGAGCTTTAACCAAATTTCTGTTGCAATGACGACACAGCAGTTTCTCATCCCCAGGTTTGTTATTAAACCTAGCCTCATGTGATCCATTTTTGGCTCTAAGGAATGGGCATTAGCAAACAAAATAGATGGCAGTGACATACTCTATGGTTTAGCTTTTTAGCCTAGTTGTTAGTCCTCTACATTCATCCCATTTCCTCTTTTAGTCATATCATCTCCTCTTCTGATGACAGTAAGCGCTGGAGGGAGACTTCCCACCTGCAATGGCTTCCACCACTACCCCGCCTCTGCTGCCCAAAATGCAGAGGACAACGTTTATGAAGAAAACCCAAATACCTCAATGCATCCTGGTCATTTGCTAGGAGTTTAAAATATTATTTGCTCTGGCCCTGATCCCACCAGAACAGTGCACAACCCCCACCCCTTGCCTTCCAGGAAGCCTTAAAGTCCTGGCCTTCCCCACAAATGTTGGGGATAGGATGAGCCCAAGGAAGATGTCGACATGTGCAGGAGAGGGCTGCCCTGGAGCGCCATGAGTTTCATAGAGTTTTGAGTTCTTATTGATTTTTATTCCAACTGTTTGGGGCAGGGTATGTGCTTTTATTGTTTTGTTCACCACTCTGGGTCGTTGTTACAAAATGGGCAGCTATGCAACTCTTTTAAAACAATGTAAAATAAAAACAATTATAAATTCTTTCCCTATGAGCAAGCTTTCCTAGGTGAGGCTGCAGTCAGTATGATCTGCTGGTCCCACCCAAATCATGGGAGATGAAGAAACATGAGGCAAAAGCAACTATAGCCGTGGGAATATCAGAGGACAAAAAGGAAGTACAAGTGCAAAGATTCATTTGCTCTGGGAAGAAAGGAAAATTTACCAAAGACTGGTTCACTCAGAAAGACAAGACAAATATATTATAGCTTACTACTTCTTTCTAGAGAGTTCTGAAAACTACAGGCAAAAGAAACTAAGGAAAAAAAATCATCCTTCATGGATCAGAAATACTGAGCAAAATTCATTTTGAGGTATTTTGTGGGGAAAGAGTCCTGGTAGTGATGCTAATCAGTCATAAATTGGCTACAGTGTTCTTTGCTATTCACGCCACTGTCCATTTTTATGTTTAAAGATAAATATGAACATAGATATGAGTGCACATGTGAGCTATATATATTGATACACTCTATAATTCAACCATCCAAAGGGAAAAGTATGTAGAACAAGATAATTATCATTAGCCATAATTTTAGCCAAGATTGAAAATCCAGCAGCCAGGATTTTCAAACTAAATCTTGTACCTATGTCCGGGTTAGGAATATTTCCTTCATTCTAAAATGTGAAGTCTTTTTATTAATCTAAATGTGTATTGGATGTATATATTTATTATAGAATTCATCTAAAAATTGCAATATGCAGTTTATTTTAAATAAACAATATATCACCAATTTTGTAACTAAATATACTGCTAAAGGGGATCTATATAAAGATTCAAACATTTTTGAAATAAATTAACAAAGAATTAAGAGACACCCACCTATTTTTAAATCTATCTAGTGCAGCAATTCCAAAATAGTACATTTTGGATGTAAAAGGCTTTCGTAAGGCTTCAAGCACGTAGCGCAAGGCCAGGCCCAGGGCCATATAGGTCACCAATCCCTTCTCGATTATCCCACCGAAGAGGCAGGCTGTTATGTGGAGCTCTTTATCAGGATATTGCGGGAAAAAACGATATTCTTCAAATAAATTCCTCAGCATACAGTTAAATACTTCTCGCTCCCGTTTAATGTTAGAGTCCTTAAATCTCTGTAGCATTTCTAACACCTGTAAGAAAATCAGAATATTATAAAGAAAACTCATTTGTGCAGAGCCCTACATAAAATGTAAAGTTTTTTCAGTTAATCCGGCCAAAGTTTGGCTAGAGCTCTCTGTAAAGGTGGTGGTAAATAAAACTTTAATTTATTAGGCTAGTTATCACAAGATTTTTAAAAATAATTATTACAATTTTTTAAAGGAAGAAAAGTTCAAGCCTGCCACAAGTTGACCTTGACTCCTGATGAGTTCATGGAACATTCAGTTAAAATTCAATTATCTGGCCATGTTTGTTTTTTTCAAGACAACCCAGCTCAGTGGCTGTATATGTATATGGCTATATATTACAGTAATGCTTAATACTGATGAATCACATTTTAAAGGGACTATAAAATGATCCAATTCATATTTTTAAACCATCCTGACATTAAAAGATGGCAAAATTCTGCCTTAAGTAGATTGTGAGGCATGCAAAGGAAAAAAATATTGTTCTGGACAAGAATATTTCCTTAAAATTGGGTTCAGTTAAAGCTTGAATCGTTTTCAAAAATACCAGTGTAAGTTTACTTGCTAGACCCTCTTATTATCTGGCATATAATAAGGCATTCTTAATAAAATACATCAGCAATGAGATTTACTAATAGATTAATGTTTAAAATATAGGTAGTCATCACTCACCAACTGCAATTTGGACCAGCAACTCTGTTGGTAAGCGGTCATTAAGCACAAATCAAGTGACCACACCGATTTATGACATCAGTACCGGCTTGGTCATTAAGTGAATAATCACTAGTTGGTAAGAGTGATGTGATAGGACCATTTCTTGTGACTTTCTGCCGGCTTCCCCATGGATTTTCTTATAGTCAGTTTCAAAGGTCACAAATGGTGATCACATGACTGCAGAATGCTGCAGCCATAGTAAATGAACACTTGTTGCCAAGTGCCCAAATTGTGATCAATGACTGCAACTTAGAGAACCAGTTGTAAGTCTTTTTTCCCCCCATAATTTTTTTATTTTTAAATGAAATTTTTATTTTTTAAAATGTATCATTCCATCTTCAGTTGAATAGTGTGTTGTCTGGGTACAAATATCTTAGTTGAACAATCATCAAAATTTGCAACATCGTTTGTTACATTGATATTAATTCTACAATATTAAAATAGTAATATTCCACATACTAATTATAATATTTACTTATCTCTTAACATATCTTCTTTATTTTGCTTCCCTGTTTCTAACTTCCATTTTATTATTTAACCATGGATAAAATAGATCCCATATCATATAATATTCAGTTTGCTCTTTCTCCTTAATTGCTCTTTCTCCTTAATCTGTTCATTTCTGCACATTCTAATATTTTCCTAATCACATTCTCATCTGTTGGTATTTCTTTACTCTTCCAATTTTGTACAAATATAATTCTAGCAACAGTTAATATATGAATAATTATGCATTTTCCTTACTGTATTTTTTGGGTAGAATCCCCAATAGAAATATTTCTGGTTTTAAATCAATATGCCGTTTTATCATTTTTTCCAACCACATATATATTTTTGTGCAGTATTTTTTTGCTTTTGGGCAAGTCCACCACATATGATATGACCCAGGTGGCACTTCCAGCATTTAGCCAATTTATCTTCAAACATTTTTGCCAACAGCGCTGTTGCAAAATGCCATCTATAAAACATCTTATACAAATTTTCTTTGTATGCATTTGACATTGTTAATTTGTAATTCCTATCCCACAATTTTTGCCATTTATCTAATTCAATTGTGTAACCAATTTTTTTTGCCCATGCTATCATTGTTTCCTTTACTTGTTCGTCCTCCAATTTCATGTAATAGTAACTATATGTTCTTTATTAATTTCTCTTCTGTCCCTGTTAGTATCTTGTCTAGTTCTGTTGGTTCTTTATAAAAACCATATAGTTTTGCATCTTTCTCGTATCTAGAATGTAAGTGTACTTGTGAATACTGTGTCATATCCCTTGATCACTCAATTGTTTTTGAGTTCCCTCTTCTCATTCAAAATATCTTTATATAACAATATTTTCTATGTTAACATTTGGATGAACCAGTGCTTCCATTGTCGAAAGCCAAACTGGTATCCTCAAATAGTGTTGTTCTCCTAGTTTCTCCCATACTAGCAATAATGCATTCCTAATATAATGCCTCTGAAAGTAAGTCTTATTTTTCACTGCTGTTCCAAGGTTGAAAGGCCTCTGAACAAGGTCAGTAAGTGAGAATTACCTACAGCAATTTTGTTTTGCATACAGCATATACTGAAAATGCAAAGGTTGGCTGTAACTGTACAAAAGCAATGTTTCAAAACTTACAATTGTCATTATTTTGCAACCCAAAAGAAAGTACCATTGTCAGCACCTGCAATGCCAAGTGTCTGATAATACTTGAAATAAAAGCATTTGCTCTCCAAACTCACCTCATCTACAGACATGGTGGGATGGGGTGGGTGATTATAAATACGCTGAAAATAGCTGTTGGCTTCATCATCAATCTCTTTGCTAAAGTGCTGATTAGCCTCTGGCCATACCTGAGATAAGTCAGCTGTTGGAAAAAGGCACGTACAAATTAAAAACATGAAATGCTGGAAAATGCATTTATTTTATGGCACCAACTTAACAGAAGCCACCCTACAATGTTTCAACTGCCTCTACTAGTCAGGGAAGTTGGTACCCAGCACACCGATTGGTAGAGGATGAAAGGTGGTCATGTGATCCAAAAAACCAAACATCTCTCAGATGCTGAGGATCCAAAAAACCAAACATCTCTCAGATGCTGAGGATCCAAAAAACCAAACATCTCTCAGATGCTGAGGTCAGAAAGGAGATTTGGGCAGAGGCTGAGAGCACAATGAAACAACCTTGGCAGGAAATATAAAATAGGACACAACTTAATAGTTGTGGGTGAGTTAAGTGCCTAGGTCATATCATCAGGGCTATGTCATCATCATCATCATCATCATCACTAGACTAGCTCTCATGATGTGACCTAAGTTTGAGTAATGAAATGTCTGCCAGAAAACAACTGAGCTCAGAAAGCACAAAAGACAGAGAACTTTGAAACAAAGTACTTTGGATTTAACAGAACAAAAATTAAACTATTCAACTACACATTGAGAGAAAAATCAGTGAAATATTTGAAGAGGAGAATCAGTTTGGGGTAGTGGTTAAGGTACCAGGCTAGAAACTGGGAATTTATGAGTTCTATTTCTGTCTTAGGCATGAAGCCAACTGGGGACCTTGGGCCAATCATTCTCTCTTGACCCTAAGAAATAAGCAATGTCAAACCATTTTTGAAAAAGTTGCCAATAAAACCACAAGGCTTATCCAACCAATGCACAGGAATACTTGTGCAGGTGGAAGAAAGGATGATTCAATATTAACATATCCTATAGCAGTGGTGGCTAATCTTTTTGGGCTCCTGTGCCAAAAATTGTGCTTGCACTCGCGTACCAGCACCCAGAAGGTAACACACGTGCCCCCCCCATGCCCCCTGCGCATGTGCGCGCAATCGCCCCCATGCTCCCTTACCTGTACTGCGCCTCACAGCTGATTTTTCGGCTGGTTTGAGGCCTTTTTCGGCC